AAGGTGAAGATCCGTTCTTACCCTTCTCACCGTAATTTTTATTCTTATTACAACCCAACCCAATATATATATATATATATATATATATATATATAATGCTTTTAGTAGTGTGTTGGAAATGTCTAACATACTACGGTATGTTTTAAATGTGTCAAAAACAAACATTATAAGTATTGGTAACAAATAACTGTTTGAGGGACTTATAATCGTATTTTGAAAGTTAGTAACAAATCTAAAAAACCATGTTCTTGAATTGAAAAACATAATTTGAACTTTTTCTTGTTTAATTTCTCTCAATCATAACCATACTCAACTCTCAAACCAAACTATAGTTTTTTTTATCATATAATCGGTTCACATTTCACGTTACTGTCGAACTCGTATTCATTCTCATTTCGATTCAACAAACCAAACACCGCATATATATATATATATATCTTCGGATGTTTGTATACAATACGGCCATCCGCAACCACCATAAGTATCCTTCCAAACATTATCAGAAGGGTTATTTTTCACTCACCAAATGGAACAACTAATTGAACTAAAGAAATGGATTAATAAATTAAAGTTGAAACAAAAATAATATGGCTAAAATAAAATAACAAGAAACAGAAAATTTATACAAGTAAGGTCACAGAGACTTTTAAGGGTTGTGATGTCAAGATCTGCGACAGTTACATTTTTCTAAAGGCACGTTGACGATGTCAACACTTGGAGGATAGACAACAAGGTTGAACAAGTCAAGATATCCACTCCCACGATCATGCCCAGCTAACCCCCTTCTATTCCAAGGAGGCGGGGATTACCTGACGGCTAAATGGAAAAATTCGAGTATAAAATAATGGGAAGACACCAGATTTGGGGATACCTATATTCTACATGTGAACTACATCTTTTTCTTAACTTACTACATCATTATTTTCTTGTATTAGCAAAGTGTAATCAATGACCTCATCAGAATAGCGTTTCTTGATGTCAATTATTCAACACTAATGCAATATTGATCTAACATCACCCACGGTTTTTACCTATTTACATGGTTGTTTGCATTTACCAATCTACATTGAATATTCTTTGTTGTATTTGGTTTTATTATCTCTTAGTTGTCTAATCATTGAAACTCAGACTGAAAAAATCGTCATTAAACGAATTTCGGCCAAAAACAATATACTTTTATCATGTTTTCAAAGGTTATTGCAAATTCAAGAATCATGATAGATAATAAAAAAATTGTGTGATTAAAAAATTATGGATGTTTAAGTAAATTTACATTTACCTTCAAATTGCAATTTTTGCATCAAGTTCTTACCATTAGAGTCTCACATCAACTAAATATGAACTTTCAAAATATGTATGCAAGGCCAAATTTTCTCTCTCTATAATGGCTCTTCTTTTTTGTTAATCATGGCTGTTAGAGTCGGTTTTTGTGTACCTCAAATAATCTTGTGTGTCCTGAAAATAACCAACAACCAATAAAACCCCCTGTGGCCCTTAGTGCAGGTTTGCATATGTGTGTGTATATATATATATATATATATATATATAGAGAGAGAGAGAGAGAGAGAGAGAGTCAAGATCAAACGAGAAGATGATCAATTTGTAAAAAGACGATAAGTGATTCTAGCGATCCAATGATTCAGTCACATGTGATATGCCCAATAATAATATATGATCAATAGTATACGCAAACTTATAATCATATATGATTTATATATATGATTCTAGAAAAGCACGTATGTTATTATTTTAGCCCGTTACGTTCAGTTATGTTGAAACCCACAAAAATTTTACTATAAAAAATGATATGCCTAATGCCATTTCAACAATCCCGAAGTTATTAACAGTAACAACTGGTCATATATGATCAATCATAAACATTTATCATCTTTTAAAATCATTTGACAAATGTCAAATCTTTAACAATCATATGCCATCAAACCAAAATAGTCATATGATTGTCTACAATCATATATGATCAACCTAAAAACCCTAATTTTGATTTTTCATATTTGAAGTTGCTCATCGAGCATGTACCATGTTCAACATTGAAGTCAACAATCACGTATCATATATCATCTTCATAATAGAATACATTTATAACAAAAAAAAAAAAAAAAAAAAACTAAACTAATCAGAAAGCTTATCCATTTCCTTCCTCAAAAACTCAGTCGATTGCATTCATTCACTATCAAAATTTCGGTCATCCTCTTCCAAAACAGCCAGCGTTTGGAGTGTTTTTGAACTTCCCCAAACGTTGATTCTTGGCTTTGTTACCGATTTTGGTTCTTCGATTCTTCAAGTTAACTTGATTCTTGAACCGAAGATTTGTTGTTTTTCTTAATATAAGATCTCAAGAAGGAATCTAGTAGGACAAATAAGCTTGGATTTCTTTATAATTTCAAGATTGTTTTATTATTTTCCAACCATTTATTAAATGAGTGGGAGCAGGTTCGTTCCCGACATTTTTTAGGCCCTGGACAAAATGCAAAAAGGGGTCCTTGATAAGTACGGTAATTTTTCAATAAATGTTTTTATCATCAGAAATAACATGGAATTCATATAAAACCGTTTTTCCGAGTATTTCTGGACGCAAAATCAATCAATACGCATTTCTAAATTAATATTATCTACTAGAACATTTTTATGTAGTATCGGTAATTTATTCCATCATCAAAAACATCCTATGATATACTTTTGATACATAGAATGACATCATTTGGGGTCACAAAGTCGATTCTTTTGATTTTCGAGTGACACTATGTAAATCAATGTAAATAGGTTGGTTTTCCATGTCATCTCATGTTAATGTTTTTTAATATCATTTTAAACTTTTATATTATTACACCATTTTAAACTTTTATATTATGTTTTCGAATTTGGAAAGATTAACATCATTTTAAACTTTTATATTATGTTTTTGAATTTGAGAAGATTAACACCATTTTAAACTCTTATATTATGTTTACGAATTTGGAAAGGAAAGAAAAGAATGAGAAAGGAAAAGAAATTTAAATTAAAGGAAGAAAACTAAAGTTTTTTATTTATGTTTTTAATATAGAAGAGAGAGGAATGAAAAATAATGAAATAAAAATAAATTTTGATATAATTTTTTTCCTTTCCTTTTCTTTTCCCTAAAATGTCGAGAACAAAATATCCCCCCCTCCCCATTACTTTCCTCTCTTTCCTACGTAAAAGAAGACTCAAGAACATAAGGTTAGAGTTAAAATAAACTTTTTTAGAATCATTGATTATATGAATTAAAAAACTCATGTTGGTGATAGTTTGAGATCTTATTCTTCTTTTAGAGATAGAATAGTACATAAGATTTGTACATTCAATATTAGATAATAAAGAACAACTATGAAAAAATAATTATAGTTTTATTATCCTAAATATACACATAAGTTGTACCGTTTTATATAGTTGGTAACTTTTTCAAAAGATGAGAGTTGTGTTAGCTAATAACAAGAAAATCTATCATATTCTAATATAAAATAGAATTCACACGTGAATGGAACAATCAAAAGAGTCGATGGGAGATAAATTATGGAGAATATATCAAAGTTTTCGAAATAAGTAGTTTTAGACGTCAGTTTAATTAAATAAAAAAAACTTAAAAAATATTAAATAATATTATATAATGAACAACATATTAACCTCTTTATATTTTTTTTTCTCCAATATATTTAATTCATACATGTTTGGGTCTTTAATAGTTAATGTAGTACCAAAAAAAATTTGTCGTATTAGATACTAATTTTTTTATGTGTCTTCTATTTACTAATTTTTTGGAACTACTATTATATATATTAAAAAAAATTTGGGCCCCTAATTTTTATGGGCCCTGGACGTACGCCCGGCCCGTCCTCCCCCCGGTACAGCCCTGAGTGGAAGGCTGAGATTGCTTCTCGCCTTTCTGCAAATTGACCGCTTTCTCGCATGATCTTCTCCCTCTCTCTGCGCACATGTGTGTGTTTATATATACATTTATTGGTTCTTTTACGGAGAATTCAAAAGGGTTTTACATACCCTAAAATTGTATAAGAATTGGGATCTTGCACCACCTACGTACTCAATACACTCTTCCGCCTCAGTTCTTAAGGGCAGGCACCATCTAACTACCATTTAAAGGCGTGTGTTGAAGTCACAAATTGATTAGACAACCAACCATCGAAACATGTATACATAGGAACATTTCTCTCTATATAAAACAATATCAGTTTTTTTTTTTTATTAACCTGGATATCCAATCCGCTATGCGAGCCGACTAATCTCAGGACGACCACGACCACGACTACTTGCTAGCCCGGAGTCTCCGTATTTGAATCTCCGTGGCCATAAAGGGATTTTTATTCCTCTTTTGATTTGAACATGAGACCTCTTGTTACTTTTAACCTTTGAAACCAAGCTTAAATCAATCAAACACCACCATCGTGATTAAAACAAAATCAGTTTTGTAACACATGAAGAACCCCATGTATACCACAATTTCAGACGCCGGGCTTATTAGAAAACAGTTATTTTCGCGGTCTCTTTTATCTAAAAAAAAATAACAACTGTAACATGAACTAATGACGATACATGAATGAAAGAACAAGATTTATCAAAGAAATTACAAAAGAGACACCAATGAAACATTAGTTTATACCATCATAAGGACCCCAAAGCCCATCATAAAAACAGCACCCACCTTCAGTGTTTCAGCCGATGATGGTGATGGCGGCACAGGTGTTTCAGGGGTAGAGATCGGTGGTGATGGCGTATCAGATGATGATGACGGCGGAGATGTGGTGGAAACTGGTGGTGTTGAAGATGGAGGAGTGGTGGTTGTTGGTGTTGGAGATGGAGTGGTGGTTGGTGTTGGAGATGGAGTGGTGGTGGTTGGTGGTGCAGATGATGAAGCTGCTACTGTCTTAATCTCCACCTTCATTCCTTGACCACAATGACCAGGTGTGCCACAGATGAAATACCGGCTTCCGGCAGCCGTAAGTGCAATGGTAGTCGGAGTAAGAGCGTTTGTTGAAATCGGGCCACTCGTTGAGCACGAATCGAAATCAGCCTCTGAAACTTCCAACACATTGTGGTTTGGCGTATAGCTGAAAACTGCATGAACGAAACCGTCAACACCGATTAAAAGTAAACTGAACCAAATGAGCTCAGTATACTCCAGTCGGATGCATGTTTAATGGGTCGTTGCCCAATGGTTAGGTTTTTTTGAAATTTGAACTGGGCTTTTTCTACCGGTCATGTCGGGCCTTTTAACGGGCCTATAAGACTGGTCATTTAACTGATTATAAAAAAATATATTCCGAACCGGTCCCAAGCGGTTATCATCGGTCCTGTTCCTACATTGGCGACGTACCTATTTGGTTATTTCTAAATTACACATACACAATCATATATACAAGTATTTACTTTTTAATACCGACACAAGTAGATTACCTATATTATCGCCTACAGTGAATGTTTCAGACGAAGCCCACGACCCTAGGTCAGTCGATGTGTCCCACCCTCCGTTTGGTGATCCAACATCGTGATCCACGGCTAACGCCAATCCAACAAGCATCGTTATAGCAACGAGACTCGTTAGAATTCTCATCATCGTTGCACGGCCCATCGATCGATGTGTTCTTTTGGTCAAACCCCGACGACTTTTAAGAGAGGAATGATATTGGTTTTGGATTGAACAAAATGATCACGTATTTATATACATAAAGATGATAATTTATGTGCTCAATTATTTGATGAAACATGCATTGATTCCAAGTATTTTGATTTTGGAATTGATTTGGTAGATGAATGGTGGAGTTGTTGACCGTTTAAAAATTTGTACCGGGTGTACTTATATGTATCAATGTAAACCAAATCAAGAGAGTATTCGTACAATACAGCGAGAATAATTCTCATTTTAATGTTTAGTTTTTATTTTTTGTTTATATCAATATCATACGATTTGACGTGATTTTGAGAAAACGATAATAAAAAAAATACGTGTGAATATTACAGGTTACCCTATATGTGTTAACAGTATTTGATCCTTCTGTTATTGATATGTCTGCTAATATATATATATATATATATATATATATATATATATGACATTTATAAAAATATAAATTCCACAATTTAAGGTAGGAAGGAAGACATGATGATCTGTTTTACGTGCCTCCAACTCCAATTATGCTTCTAAGGGTTGACCTCTTCTTTTTCTATATTTTTTTATTTAATGGTCTAATCTTAGTTCTATAATCATAAATGAATCACATACATTTAATTTATAGGTTATAATGGTCTATTTAAAGTATTTTTATTTTTATTTCTTATTATAGAGAATCTATTTTATTTTGTTTTTGTTAATCTGAATATTCAACCCGCTATATGAATCGACTAATTTTAAGGCGATCATTCGTTTTGCTGGTAGTCCGAAGTCACCATATATGAACTTCCGTGGATTCGAACTTGGGACTTTTATTCCTCCTTGAATTCGAACTTGTGACCTCCAGACACTTTTGATATTAATCTTTTATATTTCATTAGTATCGTATTATTAATTTAGTTTTCACTCGTTTACTTTCTTATACATACATTATTTACTGGTATAAAGTATAGAAAAAACATACATTTTTATAAAATAAGTTTGACTATTTTAAATAATAAAAACATCACATGAGAAAACAAAATATAGTAGATATAAAAAATTGTAATTAAAATATCATCCAAAAACACTAAAGTTTTATTTCACACAATGAAATAATACAATGTCGCTAAATTGAAACAAATTTTTATTGTTGTTTTACAATGTGAAAAAAAAAATTGATACGAAATGTGATGTGAAAGTGAAACACTAAAGTGTTCTTTCATATTGTGAATCAACATAATGTCATTAATTTTAAACAATAAATTGTTGTGAAACAATGTAGTACAGTTTTACAATTTGAAAACAAAACAAAACAAAGTTGACGTGAAATGGGATATGGAACACTAAAGTTCCCCTCTAGAAGTCAAAGACCTTCCAGCCTAGTGGTAAAGGCTTGGGCATGGCATAGTCATGAACCCGAGTTCGAGCCCTGAGAGAGGAGTGTTGGCGACATTTAAGTGGGGCCATGTTTAGCTTCCAAATTTGCCGGGGATTAGTCGGGCTTTGGCCCGGACMCCCTTAMAAAAAAAAAAAAAAAGTTCCCCTCTAGAAGCTTATGAAATAAGTCATTATCTATATCGTTAAGCCACTATGAAACAATATATATATAACTGACCAAATAAGTTGTGAATCTTATTAAACTTATTAGACTACTAACAAACATACCCTAATATACATACTCTCTCCTCTAAAAAGAGAGGAAAAAAACTTAGAGTCCGTTTATCTAAACACTTACAAGGTAAATTTCAACTCTATCTTTTACTTATCGGGTAAGATTTTAGTCTATCAAAACGACATCGTATGTAACAATTTACCCGGTAAGCTCTAAACGTGGTAAGAGTCGTCGTCATCACTTGCCGAGTAAGACTCTCGGTTCATGCCTTCGATCTTACATAGTAAGATTTTTGGTCCTTGTCATATTCATCCGGTAAGAGAATATGACCTGATAAGCACTTACCCGAGTAAGCATTTGATAAAACGGCCCCTTATTAATGTTGCTTCTCTTTCCTTTAAAATAATTCTTTGTAGATTTTTGGAGGATTTTATGTTCTTTGTCTTCCTATAGAATGATTTGGAGGTTCTGTTAAATCAAACCAGACACGTTTCCCATATTTTATAGGTCTTTGGTGAAATGCAAAAAATAGTCCTCGATATGTACAAAAAAAAATCTTTAATATATTGTTTTTATCATAAAAAATAGCAACGAATTCAAAAAAAAATACTAATAATTCACATTAAACCGTTTTTTCTAAGTATTCTTTAAGCAAAATCAATCAATAATTATTTTTAAATTAATATTATCTATCATATCATTTTTGCATAGTATCGTCGATCAATTCTATCATCAAAGACATCCAATGATATACCTTTACTATATAGCTGGATTGATAACATTTGGGTCACAACGTTGACTATAAATCAACTGAGTTTCAATCTCAACTCATGTTAACTGTTAAGATTAAACAAAAAAATTTGGAATCATCAATTTTAGCATCAAAAGCTCATGTTGGTTATAACTTGAGATTTTGTTCTTGTTTTAGATATAGAATAGTACTTCAGATTTATGTACTAAATATTAGGTAATAAGAAATTAAAATTGTATGAGAAAAAAATCAAGGATCGTTTTGAAATATTAAATATAGATATAAGTTGCATAGTCTCATATGACTGGTAATTTTTTTAAAAGCATGAATTTTCTTAATTAATAATAAGAAATCTATTATATTCGAATACAAAAAATAGAATTTATGTGAATGTAATAATCAAAAGAATCAGTGGGAGATGAATGATAAAAAAAATATACTAAAGTTTTCATGCAAATAGTTTTATATTTTAATATCAATTAACTTTTCACGTACTTTCTTTTCCAATATAATTAATTAATACTAAATTCTTTTTGAATCATATTGGATAAAAATTTGAGTCTCTTTTATTTACTATTTTTTAAAAGCTACTATTGTATAGTAAAAACATTTGGGCCCTTCTTTCTTGTGGGTTTTGAGCGTGCGTCTGGCCCATCCTCCCCATGGACGGCTAGTGACGGGAACTGGGACCGATCCGGCCCGGGATATTTGAAATAGAATCATCCCTTGATATTTGCATATCTATACTATATTATAAAGTACTAGAAACGTACTCGCGCAATGCAGCGAGATACATCATGATTTTAATATTTCATTTTCTTCT